ACGCCATCAGTTGTCTGCTGGAATACTTCGTGTGCCTCTAAAATTTCGGCCTTTTCAAATTCGGGAACATTTACGGAGCTGCGAGGTTCGATAACATCATCATTAGGCCCCGCTGGTGTCTTCTCCGCGTTGGTAGTTGTGGTCGCCATTATGACCTCGAAATGATCGGTGCTTTGCGGAACGTTGCGTGAATCACATAGAAGAGCGGGCCATGAAGCTTAATATACTAGCTATGCCTATCTGGATAGCTTTGAATTTGTCACTTATCTTGTTGAAGCTCAGCTTTGTTATCAATCCTCTTAGCCCCGGCCCATGGTGGCGGTTCCTAACTGCCGATGGCCGGGCATTATACCGCATGCAGGGTAGTGTATTTCTTAAAGATAAGGGTTCGTATCACGGTCTTTTGCCAGGCCGCTGGCAATTGGGATCGGAAGTGAACTTGGGTTACGGACCGCATGTGGTACCGGGCCGGGGAAACGGTCTTTTTGACAATTATCTGTAGATGGTGGTTCTACAATAAGTAATGATTGCTTACACACGTCCGACTTGAGAAAGGTGGCGGTGGCCATATACCCCATAATTTTACTGCTTTTGTACCGTGAGCAACCAGATTTTGCTTGACATTCAAGAGCTTTCCAGACCTAGATTCAATTACAATAGGCATTACTCAAAGATGATTCCTCATTCTATTGTCCAGAAAATCCTATGGATGCCTCTGTGTATTTGGATACCGAGGCTCCCTGCTGATGGATCCGCTTTGACGAAGCTCAAACAGCTCCACTAGATAAGGTACACTTTTAGCTTAAACGTAGGCCGATGGCGCTTGGATCATAGCATGAAGCGAACAGCTTTAGTCTGAGTGAACTCGGCTATAGCTTCCTCTCCGAGATCCTTTCCATTTCCACTTTGTTTGTAGCCACCAAAAGGTAGCTGATGAGATATCATGTTGTAACAGTTAACCCATACCGTTCCCGCTTCAAGCCCTTTGGCCATTCGAATGCCCTGCTTGATATCAGACGTAAAGACCGCAGCGGCAAGGCCGTAGCAAGTGTCGTGTGCCATTTTCAACACATCGGCTACATCTTTGAACGGCGCGACGGCGACTACCGGCCCGAAGACCTCTTCTCGCATGATGTCCATGGATTGTTTGACATCGCGAAAAATGGTGGGTTCAACGAACCAACCTTCAGGACTATGTCCACCGCTGGCGCATACGGCGCCCTGCGATTTGGCGTTTTCTATCATGCCCATGATCTTGGTATACTGGCCCTCACTGATCTGGGGACCCAGGAAGGTTGCATCTGTAAACGGGTTGCCTAGAACATTTCTTCGAGCACGAGCGATGAATTTCTCCAAGAAGACTTCATATACGCTCTCTTGAACGTAAATGCGACTGCCAGCGCAGCAATTTTGTCTGTGACCAATTTGTATTAGTTTTCACTCTTCAGATGATCAATTGCAGATGCGGCTTTACCCCATGTTGTAAAAGATGCCGCTATTGGCCCACTCAACAACTTCGTCTAGATTTGCACTATCGAATATGATGCTAGGAGACTTGCCCCCTAGTTCAAGAGTGGTTTTCTTGAGATTGGAGTCTGCTGATGCTCGTAAGATGCTCTTTCCGACGGGGGTACTGCCAGTGAACGATATCTTATTGATGTCGGGATGACTTGCTAATGCAGAGCCTGCTTCTATACCGAATCCTGTGACAATGTTCACAACACCTGGCGGAAACCCTGCTTCAAGAATAAGTTTCCCTAGATAGAGAGCTGATAAAGGTGTAAGTTCAGCTGGCTTCAGGACCACTGTGTTACCAGCTGCCAACGCAGGACCGAGCTTCCAACCACACATAAGGATTGGGAAATTCCACTGAGACGACAAAACAGTCAGTATTATCAGACAAGATTAACCAGCGGTACAGTCACTGACAGGTATGATCAACCCGCAGACTCCCAAAGGCTCCCGAAGTGTTATATTCAACGTGATAGGATCGGTTTCGAGCGAATCACCTTTTATTTTGTCCGCCCTAGTTTCCGATTTGCCTGGTCAGTTAAGTCAATATATTTGAATGGATTGAAAAGCCAACAAATCATCCACCGTAATATCTTAGACAAGATGAGCAAGCAAGAACATCGGCATCCTTAGCGATTTTCACTGGCTTTCCACCATCGACAGACTTGCAAAACACATAATCAGTAGACTGACGAGGGCTCGAGATAGTTGACAAACCTCGATCTTGGCAAGAAGGTCAGCATCCCTCTCTATCAAGTCCGCTAAGCGGACAATCAATCTTCCCCTCTGTTGTGGTGCTGTCTCCCTCCAGTTGCGCCATGCACTACGCGCCGCCTGTACAGCATTTTGAATGTCTAAATCTTTCCCTCTCGCAACAGTGCATATTGCATGCTGATTGTACGGATTGATTGTCTCAAATGTGGTCTTATCTGCAGATCCTACGAAATTGCCATTTATGAGGAGCCCGGTAGGCTGTTCGTACGTTGACCCGTCTGGCAGCTGTATTGTCGTTGCCGTGGTGGATGACATCTTAAGGGTGTCGTTTTTGGACCTCTTAGCAAGTCTCAAGGCTGCAAGAAACCACAGGATTCTTGCTAATTGTCACGTCTTCTGTCTTTCAACTTGAGCTTCAACCTTGGACTTGACAGGCACCTAAAGTAACGCGCGACGATGACGGAGTTCCGCCACCGCGCCTATGTCATCGCTATGCCAGCCCGATCAAGCAAATTCTACTTACAATTAGCGGCAAAGACGATGGGAGCCATTTGAACATTGAGAAAACTAGCCTAGAATGATGATCATGCCGCCAATGGATGAGTTCTTAAAGTAAATTCTCACTTCAATGTTATCACTCCAATAAGAATCAAGTGAATACAGAAGTTTGCGTCCAAATGTTTAAATCATCGTACCGTAGAGGGCCAACCCTTGGCTGACTATCCGGCCTACCTTTATAAGATATTACACGATGATGACAAAGAGTTTGATATTTATATCTAAGGAGTTTCGAAATCTCTAGGCTCGTCGCATTCCTTTATGTTTACAGCTGTAGGTAATTCAAACCCGGCTTTGCGCTCCCATAGTTTGAGACATTCAGTATAGTCTGCCGACCGCTCAACATTGGGCTCTTCAAGTGCCTCCTTGAAAAGGGAATGCATATGTGTCGCCAACTGTGTGTCGAGACCCATCTTAGTGCAGAGGTCAAGGTTGATGCCCAAGTCTTTGACCAAGAGCACCAACCCGTATCCACTCGCATATGTCCTTGTGAGGCCCTCCGCCCGGATCGAATGTGATGTACCATAATTTCTACCAGTTCCAACATTCAAGACGTCTGTCATCTGGACAGGATCAAGACCCATCTTGCGTCCAACAATAAACGCGTCATTCAAAGCTGCGATTCCAGCTGCTGTAATGTAGTTGTTGAAGGTCTTCATGATGTGTCCACTCCCAAGCGGACCCATAACGAATCGCCAACGGGACATGGTCTTCAAGACAGGCATGACGAAGTCAATATCTTCAGTGGCACCGCCAATCATGAATGTAGCCTCTCCATCATTGATGCCATGCATTCTCACCTGAGTAACAGGCGAGTCGACGAGTCGAAGCTTATATTTCTCAAGATCTTTGCCGAGCTGCTGTGTACCAAACGGGTTGGACGAGGAGGTATCAACAATCACACACCCTTGTTGCAAAAATTAGCTCTTGCGTGTTCTCAGCGGAATAATCCCATTCCTACCTGGCTTCATGTAAGGGGCAATCCCTTGCTCTCCTAGTAGTATATCTCGGACGATATGACCATTAGGAACCATGGTGATCAAAACATCAACATTTTTGAAGGCTTCTGGACCATCCACTGCTTCTTGAATGGGTAGATTCTTGTTCTGTTCCACGAATGCTCTTTGCCGTTTCTTATCCGCGTCCCGAACAACGATTTGATAGCCTTTCAATGCTACATTTTGTGCCAGCGGCCCCCCAGCCAAGCCAAGGCCAATGTATCCAACTTGTTTGATTTCTGAGATCATGGTGGAGAGTTTTAGGATATCAATCAAATGGATCAAGAAGTATCAATATTGCAAAAGTCGCGTTTGTAGATAAGGAGTGCTGTACAAAATCCCTCCCTGACTTTTATATGATAACAATATACGAAACATCAGCTTGAAGTTTTTCATCTGAATCAGACGAAGTCCGCAAGAGATATCAATAAGTTGATTTTACTATTGCTGGCCCGCCGATGCTAGTGATGTTAGGAGCCGAGATGCTCGTTTCAAGCGAAGCCATGACTCAAGCAACTACGGACATCCGCCACCGCTACCCAGCCAAGTGGGCCTACAATTCATGTATTGGCGTTTGCAGAGAGCTAGACTGCCGACCCAAATTTCGACAGCACAGCGTTACCCCAGATATGCTAATAACAATCCTGGAGCATCAGTAATATCCGAACTTATCGAAAGGATGGCCGTAAGCCAAGATCCGAATGAGAGATAAGGAATCTCAAGCCCTGGCTTTTGTGTGTCTATAAGACGCAGGGGCCGAACTCGTCCTGAGCTTTGTAACCAACCGTCTTTTCTAGATTCCTACAACACTTGTTCGTCTTCTCAAGTCATCTTCACGTTCTGTCCCTGTTAGCAAAAATGTCCTTAGTAGAAGTCAAAGCCGTCTCTGGCAACGATACAGATCCAGAGGGGACCGCAATGGCTGTTCAAACATCCTCGGCAACATCCTCCAATGTTGCGCTGAACCCGGAACTCGAAAGACGCGTTCTTCGCAAACTCGACCTGCGCCTTGCACCGCTTTTCGCCGTCTTGTACTTCGTTGCGTATCTAGACCGGAGCAATATTGGCAATGCGGCCATTGCAGGTCTGACAGCGGAATTGGGGCTTTCCGGATCGCAATACAGCACCGCCGTGAGCGTGTTCTTCGCTACGTACGTAGCATTTGAGATTCCCGTCGTTCTCGCTATGAAAAAGTTGAAACCACACCGCGCCATCTCAATGATGTGTCTAGGTTGGTCAATTGTGACGATCGGTACCGCCTTCGTCAAGAAATTCGGTGAACTCGTTGCGGTACGATTGTTGCTGGGGCTTTGCGAGGCTGGTTTCTTCCCCTGTCTCAGCCTGTACATCACAATGGTATATAAAAGGGAGGAGCAGGTACGTTTGCAGGATGAACCTGGACCAAAATGACTCTAATACTGGTAATAGGGCCTGCGACTTGCGTATCTATTTTCGTCCGTTTCCCTAGCTGGTATGTTTGGCGGCCTTATCGCGACCGGGATTACCAAAATTGGAAACAATAGTGGGTTAAAAGCCTGGAGGTATGTTACCAAATATATTCGTTGCCTCGGGGTTGATCAAAGGCTGACATTATCAATATAGTTGGCTTTACATCATCGAAGGAGCCATTTCAGTACTGGCGGTCGTGTGGATATGGTTCGGTTTACCACACGACCCGACTCGTGCTAAATTCTGGACACCTGAAGAGGCCGAGGTAATGGCTATAAGGGAGGGCCAACGGCAAGAGTATCTTGGTAGTCAAGTATTTGATTGGAAGGAGGTTGGAAAAGCCTTCAGAGATCCCAAAGTCTATACTACGTGAGTCTTCCTTAGATTGATTAGCACAGCTATGATTCTAATTCTACACAGAGCTCTCATCCAGTTCTTTCAAGACATCATTTTGTATGGATTCAGCACATTTCTGCCATCTATCCTCAAGCTTGACCTCGGTTTCACTTCATTAGAAGCACAGTACCTAAGCGTCCCTGTCTACTTTCTTGGGGGTGTGTCATTCTTCGTAAGTTCCGCCTCCTTGTTGTTCACGGTTCTGGGAGCTAACTTCGATTTAGCTAGCTGCTGTACTTGGAGACCGTTGGAGGCTTAGAGGCACGGTAAGCCATTCCATATATTTCAATGTATCCAACATAGCTGACAATTGCCAAGCTGCTTCTCATCCTGGACATTTTCGCCGTCACTGGCTATGCTATTCTTCTAGGTGTTTCTGAAAGCCCTGGAGTCCGCTACTTCGCTTGTTATCTCATCGCCATCCCTCTATACTGTGGCCCTGGTTTGAATGAAATCTGTCAGTTTTGCCACGATCATGTCCTTGCTCGAGTACTAAACCAAATGTAGGGATTAACAACAACATGGCTCCACATTACAGACGAGCTACAGCTATCGGTGTGCAACAGACGGTTGGAAACATTGCTGGAATTGTGGCGCCACAAGTCTATCGTGCCGCCCCGTACAGACTCGGCCACTGGTGTTCTCTCGGTTCAGGCCTCATAGCAATGGCTCTGATTGCTGGGCAAATTGCTTACCTTTTCACGTTGAATAGAAAGAAGGACCAAATTGCTCGTGGTGAGCGACAAGATGACAGGAAGGAGTTCTCGGGAGAAGGGCAACTCGAATTCAGATACATCTACTAGTTCCGTACTTCTACCGGCTAGTACTATTCGACGTAAGGCAACCGAGCTAGGTTTATCTAAGATTGAGGGACAGCTTATGTCAAGCAGAAGGGGAACTTAGTCAAGGTGATCAATGGAGAACGTGTTCCTGAGGCTACATGCATCGTTTTAAACCTGAACATAGAGGTGAGGCTCACACTTATAACTTCGCTTTGAAGACACGAAGCCTGCCTGAGAAATGACTCTCAAGTTTTCTTCTTTATTAATATCCAAACATGATGTAAGCGGCCTTTTCGAGTTGCTCTCATATCAAGATCATATATGGGCTATATATCGGAATGCGACTGCCTACAACCCACTATTTATTGCAATGACACCAACTTTAATGGCATCGAGCTTGTAAATATTGACTAAAGCTTACCTTCATGTATTCTCCTTTTATTGTGTTAGTGCACCCTTTTAACGCAAATCTTGTGACTGCTTGTCTATTCTCTATACAATGTGAACAATTCCGTGGCCGCACCGATCGGCCAAACATGTCTAGTCATGGTCATCATTACGATGAATATGTGGTTCAGACGAGCCCGACACCGTCAGTTTCTTACCTGTGGCGTTCTACCGGCCGGTGACGGATTTCCGCCTCCGCCCTGTGGGGCATGGCACTGAGAAAGGGGATCGTAGTGGGGCCCCGAGATCGTCGTGGTCCAGGCTGGAGTTCCAGGCCGATTCGGTTATAGCGGACATCCGCTACCGAATGGCTGTCCTGGTATCTTTCGCAGAAGCATGTGTATTATGTCAAAAGTTACTCAAAAATGTACTCCTTCTCCAGGGCAATGGATGTTAGTTGGGCAAGGGTATCATGACCTCTTCAACGGGAGGTTACTACGTTCACAGAAGCTGGTAGAGCTATAGTAATAAGTAGAGTCTTCGAGGCACTACGAAGTATTATAATCTTATTTAGTAGTGTGACTCTTGGAATATTAACGTTCTTTACCCTGGCGGAGGAGTATGGGTGTCTAATGTGTAGTCATGCTCGATCGGTATGAACGTGTCTCCACGGTCGTCACTTAGAAGGAATTGCGGGTTCTTTTCTCAAACCGCAAAGCTCAAGTCGTAGATCAAACAAATTATCTATCAGTCCACCTGTGTTCGACTCCAAGCATCCAAAGTGATGGAAAATTCCTATTTTGACTATAGTCAGCTTCCAAATTGCCTTTAGATACCACCAAGTCATCGTCTCCCGATGTCCTGTCCAGACGAGAGACCGAGGATTAAATCGCACTCTGGCTCAACGGATTGCTTGCCGAACTTCACTAAGGCACTCCATAGAGTTAGGCGGAGCGCCTGGCATCAAGCACGATACCATAGTTCTCGCAGCAGATAGTCGATCTAAGTTGATGAAAGTTTGTGTAGAAAAAACGCACGATTCATGTCAAGCAGTCGATCCGGGGCTACGGTTGGCTAATGCAGTGCTATGAAGCACCTGCTTTAGCGCATGTAATACCCATATCCACATAGCGTTCCCCCACTAGAAGAGCATTTAAATCCACCCTTGACATTTCCCGAGGAACCTAGAAACGCCATACATCGTGCTTTAGATTGCTGCATTGACCGCTATCAAGTCTTGGTATATTCCGGTATTGGACTGCCAATGTAAGCCCAGAGACCAAAGTATGGACGACAGTCCTGCTAGCAGCTCCAAAACACTCATCGGCGAAGTCGCGACCACGTCGTAAGTGAAAAGCGTTGGAGCGAGGGAGGTGCCGACTGACACACTCGACAGATGTGAACGCTGTCGGCGGAGAAAGGCAAGCCATTGCATTCAGAACATTTGGTTCTTGGCTCTATCCGCTAACAGTCCTGGTTGCCACAGATCAAATGTGACCGTCGTCAACCATGCGGGCGATGTAGGAAAGCAGGAACAGAATGTGCCAGGGGAGGCACAGGCGAGAAGCAAAGGTAGCTACATCCAGTCATGCTTGCGGACGTGACGTCCTCGGGAGGTTAACAGGCGACTCATTCTCAATATGTATAGACCTGTACCCAAGAGCTATGTGCAGGCTCTTGAGACTCAAGTCGCGCATCTGGAGCTCTTCATCCAAAAACTAGCATCGGCCGATAACACAGAACGGGACGAACTCCTGGCTGAATTTCGCCCGAATCGGACGGCTACGACGCCATCTGCGCAGATCCAGGCAGACGATGCCGCTCAGGAGTCGCCCGAAAATAGTGAACTGGGACTGGCTCGCGCACGTGCTGGCCAGCTACGGAAGCTGGCAGCGGGGAACTCAACACATTTTTACGGTGGCACCAGTTTGTTTCAGATTCATCTGTCTGAAGACTCTTCAGTACCGTTAGGCGACGTTGATCGGATGCCATCGATGGGCTCGGTATTAGAACTTCATCCTGAACGATCACCAGATGTCGATGCTCTCAGCCCTCGGAATAGCATCTTTCAGTTCGCACCCCACGACGATGTATCGCAGCGCCTCATGGCAACTTTCTTCAAAGAGCAGTATCAATACAACATGTGCATATATCGAGAATACTTCCTACGCGACTATGATGTTGGAACTGGGCGCTATTACTCGGACCTGCTGATGTACGCCATCTGCGCATTAGGCGCTCTCGCCACCGGCGACTCACTCGATCTGCCTCTTTCTGAGGTCTTCTCTAATCAAGCACAGTCGCTCCTCTATTATTCTCTGACAACCCCGACCTCACAGCTTTGCAGGCTTTGTTACTGCTTGGTCAGCGGGAAATCGGCCAAGGTAGAGCTTCCAAGGGATGGCTCTTTTGCGGCATGGCGTTTCGCTTGGCACACGAGATGGGACTGCATTTGGATCCAACGAACTGGAACGGTAATTCCGAGCCAGACATCGATAGGGAAATCTTGAGACGTGTTTATTGGGCGACTTTCATAGCAGACAAGCAGCTGAGCCTCTACTTCGGCAGGCCTCCAGCTCTATATCCTCATGAATCAGACGTTCGCAACACCGTTCGGCTGCCGTACCCACCAGACTGGGAGGGCCTCCTAGATACTTACATTGCCAAGGGCACCTGTGCCACCGCGTACGAGGACGGTATTGCGTTTGTCGGTGCTTTCATCTACCAAGCCGAGCTTGCAAAAATCCTCCACAGCATGATCACCGACCTTTTTGAAAACCGTCGGTCTAATGCGGACACAGCCGTTGTCACCGCTACAGTCCAGCAGATCCACGTTTCCCTAGCCCGGTGGCTGGCAGGTCTTCCTGGTAAATTGCATTGGAATCAGTGGACGGTCGGCAAAGTCCCCTCGTCGGTGCTTCATTTACAGTATGTTCTTCCCACAACAGTTTATGGGCTTAAGCTGAGAACTCTCCTTTTGCAGCATGGTGTTTCACACTGCCATGATCATCCTCCACCGTCCACCACGACATTTATTCAGAAAACCGGGCATATCGACCAGCGAGGACGTTGAGATTTGCTATGAATCACTACAGGCCATTCTTCGTCTCATGCGTAGTTATTCACGCTTTTATCGTTATGACTGTCTCCCTCTGGATTTCGTTCATACATTATCGACAGCAGCAGGTACTATCTTGATGAAGCGCTTTCTAGAAAACACACCCTGGGACGATGCTGAGACATCACGATCTCTCGGCCTGGTCCTGCAAGCCATGGATGCTATCAAGGGTAGCTGGCCGTGCGTCCTTGAGATACAGGAAAGTATTGTACAAGCTCGTCAAAAACAGATCCCTACCGTACCAGAGACAGATCCAGTCATGGACCTTGGATTTATGACAGGCATCTCAGGGATGCTCCAACCGGCTGATGAGACATTGTGCATGCCGAACGATGCGCATATCTCTGAAGCTGATCTCGGGCCAATGGTCGAAGACTTTTGGGCAGATTTAGCTGTTGAGAGATGAAAATACACATTTGGCGATACCTTAATGTAGTGGTGGGTGTTTGCAATATGGCAGAGCTGCGTGACGAGTACAGCTACCGCTATGCTGCGTGGTCCATCATATGGTCAAACTAGCAACCCCATTCCGACGAGAAGATCCTTCAGCGACAGGTTCTGCTAGTTCCTATTCACCAGTCATCTAATCATCGTGATCGAACATGATGTACTTTGTTTCGAAATTGATCTAGAGCAAAGTGTGGTTGCTCTCATGTCGTCACTGGCTTGTGGTCGAGAAACAATTCTGAAAGACTGTCGCCATGTTGCTTTTCTCCTATATTCCTCAGCATTCGTAGAAGCCTGGGATCCGGCTGCCAATCATCGATGTCGAGCACGAGCCTTCGCTTGGAATTGTCAAGTAAGTATGTTGCATCTTGTGTAGAGTCCTGGTGCAATCGGCAACCCGGAGCAGCGTACCAGATGCCCCAGGGTAGCCAGCCTCTTTCTCGAGATGGGTCAGCGTCTAATCCTCCGTTCCACACCTCGGTTGTAATTGTTGCTGTCTTTAGTGCCGGTATCTGTTCGCAAGCATGTGCAAAAGCAGTGATCAGGGGCTGCAGCTCGTCTGTTCGAGGGCCAGTACGGAATAGTGGAACTCCAGCTAGTCCTGACATTATCTGATCGGTGCTGTAATCGTACTGGAAGGCCGCGGAGAGATCTTGTTCTTCAGGAAAGCTATATCCTGGCGGCAATTGATTGTTAAATACCGGCCACGTACGCTGAGAGTTACCCCCTCGGAAATACCAGCCGCCTGAAGGCGACGTCAGAGAAAAACAGATGGTGAGCTCTTCCAAGGACTGCCAGAATGGTGTGACCAACGACGGACACGGAGAAGGACTGGCACAAGCAGCCTGGTCGGGCCACAATAAGGCCCAATCTACGACGCCTTCGACCTTCAGTTTTCTGAGACGATGGCAGTGTGCAGTGGCTTCTCGGAGGTTCTGTCCAACGACATCCAAATGCTGATCACCAAGCCACAACGGCGGGGGCTCCCAGACGTGACTCTCTGGTTTGCCATGGTCTAACTTCACGCTGATCTCTTGAAGACTTTGCGGGAAACGGAAGGTCTGCAAGG